TTCAAATTCTATATAATTGTCTACAAAGCTCCAGGTAATCTGGTCCCTGCCTGCACCTCTATCCTCATCCTTGACTTATGCCACTCTCCTCACTCTTGGTCACTAAGCTTACGTCCTTCTGGCCTTATTTTCATTTTTTGAAATCATCAAGCCCCCCCACCTTTTTTTTTTTTTTTTTTTTTTTTTTTTGGTCTCAGGCCCTTTTCCCTTTCTGTATACTTTTATAATCAGAAAAAAAAACTTTTACAAAAATAAGACACTAAAATTCAGGATCCATAAATAAAAGTTTCAGAAACATGTTTACATATTAATCTTAAACAACATATGGTAAAAATAAAGTAAAATACAACAGCCAGGGATAAATGGGGAAAAATATGTATGTACACTAGACTCTGACACACAATGGGCTAGTAGGTAAGAGCCCAAACTCTTGGGTGTCTCTCAATCTCTCTGTGCCTCAGTTTCTTTACATGTAAAATGGGGCTGATAACAGCACCTACTTCTTAAATTGTGGTGAGGGTTAAGTAATTTAATAGAACAGTTCTTGGCATAATTCAAGTACCATACAGGCGTTACTTATGATGATGATTAATAAGAAGCCACAAGAAAAATAGGCAAAGGATGTCACTAGGCAGCTTGCAAAAAAGGCAATACAAAATGATCAATAAACATGAAAATATGGTTGATTTCATGCATGATGGAAAACATTCATCTGTTCATTTCACAAATATTTAACTATGCATTAAGCAACAATGAGGCATTGGGAATAGAATAGTAAACATTTTACTCTTGTGGAGTTTATATTAATTATGTGTGTGTATAATATTTAATACATCATGTGGTGATGATTTTTTATTGCATTTTAGGTTTTGGGGTACATGTGAAGAATATGAAAGATTGTTGCATAGGTACACACATGGCAGTGTGATTTGCTGCCTTCCTCCCCTTCACCTATATTTGGCATTTCTCCCCATGCTATCTCTCCCCACCTCCCCACCCCACCCACCCCTCCCCCATTTACCCCCAACAGACCCCAGTGTGTAGTGCTCCCCTCCCTGTGTCCATGTGTTCTCATTGTTCAACACCCGCCTATGAGTGAGAACATGCGGTGTTTGATTTTCTGCTCTTGTGTCAGTTTGCTGAGAATGATGGTTTCCAGGTTCATCCATGTCCCTACAAAGGACATGAACTCATCATTTTTGATGGCTGCATAATATTCCATGATGTATATGTACCACATTTTCCCTGTCCAGTCTATCATCGATGGGCATTTGGGTTAACATATCATGTGGTGATGGTGTCTAAGAAAAGAGTTTTCAAAAAAAAAAAAAAGAAAGAAAGAAAAGCAAAAAACAATAAGGGCATAGGCCTGGAAGCAGAAGACAGCTTAGCTTACTCAAGGAACATCAATAAATCGAGTTTGTTTGAGGCAATGCTAAGTTGATTAAAAGTGAGGTCTAAGAGTCTAAGTCCAGATTTAGTAGGGCCTTAAAGGCCTGGAAAAGAACTTGAAACTCCACCAGGAGTGAAATAGGAAGCCTGCTATCACCTAGGAATATTGTATTCAGCTACATACAACCAGGATCCAAATAACAAAGACTTAAAAAGGATGACATTTTGAGCATTATACTGATCTTAGGACACCACTGCCTGTGAGACACTCCAGTATATATGTGCCACCAAGAAAGAAAAAAACATGTTGTCAAATACAATCATAAATTGTCATTTAAAGATTTCAGGGATGTTGAAACATGCAGAGATGTACCTCTTAGAATTGACAAAATATGATATATATTTTTCTCATGTAAAAATAGGTCCAGAGGTGATCAGCTTTTTGGTCTTTCCATCATGATTAGTTGCAAAATGGCTATCAGCTATAGCCTTTAAGTCCTCATTTCCAGAAAGAAGAAAGAGAAACCAGGAAGGGGGAAAATCCCTTTTAGCCTTCTATTGTAATTTAAGGATCACTTTTTAAAGTCTACCCCAAAAAACTCATTGGAAATTTTTACTGGCATTGCATTGGTTGTGTAGATCAATTAGGAGAGAACTTTTATATATTACGGTATAATTATTTCATTTAAAAGAAATACAGTTGGCCCTCCCTATCCATGGCTTCCATGGAAAGGGGATTCAACCAACCACAGATCAAAAATATTCAGGAAGACAATGGATGGCTGCATCTGTACCAAACAGGGACAGATGTTTTTTCTTGACACTATTCCCTAAACCAGGGGTCTCCAACCCTGGAGCCGCCTGTTAGGAACGGGGCCGCACAGCAGGAGGCGAGGCTTATGGCCTGAGCTCCGCCTCTTGTCAGATTAACAGCGGCAGTAGATTCTCATAGGAGTGCGAATCCCATTGTGAACTGCGCATGCGAGAGATCTAAGTTGCGCACGCCTTATGAGAATCTAATGCCTGGAGATCTGAGGTGGAACTGTTTCATCCGGAAACCATCACCCCCGTCCCCGGAGCCCCTCTCTCCCCTCCCCATCCCCTGTAAAATATTTTGTCTTCCCACAAAGCCGGTCCCTGGTGATGCCAAAAATGTTGGGGATTGCTGCCCTAAACAATAGAGTATGACAACTATTTATATAACATCTACATTTTATCAGGTATTATACAAAAAGTAACCTAGAGATGATTCATAGTGCCCTAGAGATGATTCAAAGTATATGAGGGGCTGTATGTAGGTTATATGCAAATACTACTCAACATTTTACATCAGGGACCTGAATATCTACGGATTTTGGTATCCACGGGGGGTCCTGGCACCAATCTCCCACGGATACTGAGGGACAACTGCATGTATAAAACTTGCTTGCATTTGCATAGACAATTTCTTAAAGGATAAATGTGAAACTGCTAACAAGTAGTTATCTCAGGGGAATAAAAATGGGTGTGATCGGCGGGGGAGGGGGAAAAGCTTTAACTTTATATGTTATGCCTTCTATACCTTTTTATTAAAAAAACACAAATATTGTATATATTACTTTTATAATAATAAATATGAGCCAACAACTTTTAGAGTGGAATGTGCATCACTCTGGAGTATAGGAGTTTTAAGGGGATCAATTTCTACATCCTCAAATTTCCTGTGCTGTCTTTTAAAATCGATCTGCCAGAGAAAACACTTGCAGTGTAGGAATCAAGGTGGTACTCTTTGTCTAAATCCCCTTTCACAATGGTCCCTTTTGCACTTTACAAAAGAAAAAGCATATCTTTTACCTATCCTGAATCTTACCTGGGAGCACTGCCCTGCCATGTAAAATCCTTGGGGCACTAGAGAGGCAATTCCAAACGATGCTGATGATAGTAAACAAACAACTTGCTCTAACAAATGAATGGGAATCAAATCCTTTTGCAACTCAGTCTCCAATTGTTTGCTTCCAATAGAATTGAAGAAAAACCCAATGAAGTTATCAGCTGATAAATAATGAGAAATAATTTTGAAGATAAATCATTGCGTAATTTCCCCCATATATATCTCCAAAGGAATTCAAAGACTAGCATGCATTACTAAAACAAAATGTCCATTCCTATTCACTTATTCATATAAATGAGGTTTCTGTGTGCTAACATTTAACCAAACAAAAAATAGGAAGAGAGTTAATGCTGAAGCCTATCTTATCCTAGCAAAAAGCAATGTTTATCCATGGATACACCCATTAATTTTTTTTTTAAAAGCCCTATCTATCTCCGATGAACTTTTGTTTTATGTTTAATAATTGCCTAATAAAAATGGTAATATATTCACAATGTTTTGATCCATTTTATTCTTATACTAATTGTCATGATAACTCAAACAAGAGCAAAATTTTAAACAACACTTAGAGCCTTATAATCAGAAGAACATTTAAAGAGCATTTAAATATAAAAATATATACACATTTTTGCTGCAGAGAAATAGGATATATCAAAAACATTTCAAGTGCAAAAATAGACAATTATTGAGGCAAAATTCTGTTGGAAAAATAGAATTGAATTAAGAACTGAGAAAAGGAAAAATGTACAACTTCCAACTATCAAAAAAGAGCTCAGTTATAAATTTTTAAAACACATGATGGTGGCTCTCAAATCACTAAGGTATTTAGGTTTCACCAGATTCATGTGAACATAGTGACATAACAGTTTTATTTTTGAATATTAACATTTGTCACAAATTACATTATTTATAGCCAATTGACATTTATGATGCAAAATGTCAGACAACCCAAAAATGTGTGAAGGAGCACACGTTTTTCTAAATATTTTCAGCGAGTATTTTATATAAACCAATAGTTTTATATAAACATACAAAAAATATATGAGGAATTGTCATTTACTGTTTTGCCACCTTGTGGTCAGAGTTGGATTTATCACCGAGGTTCGAAGAGGAGCTGTCTCTCCTAAGGATAGCCTCTACGGTCTGCATTCTGTCAGATCTTTTTGTGAGGCAGAAATGGTAACATTTGCCCGGGGTTGGGTCCAGATCCACATAAGCACAAAGAATCTAAAGATTTTGGTGACACCCTCCACACGTAATTCAAAACAAAGGCATCATGTAATCAGGAAATGAATGTAAGGAAGTACAACAAAGTTCTGATTTTTCCCATGAGGACTACTTTAAAAAAAAATCAAATGTCAAACTGTTTCTAGTATTTTTTTGTTTTTGATTTTTTGTTTTGGTGCCTCTTCTCTGCTAGTGACATGGACTTTCCTTAGTGTGTCTTCTGCAGAAGCCATCCCTGATTTCAGTAGCCTGGGGTAAGTTGGAGTGCTGTGTCCACAGCTCTTAGTACATCTGGCCCTTGGTCAGTGCAGAATAAACATTTGTTGAGTGAATGGTGACAGAGCCCTCCATTTTCAGAACACGCTGGCCTGGGCAGAGTCCAGGTGGACCTATGGGCTTCTGCAGGAAGTTCATCACTAAGTCAACAAGTTACCATGGCTAATCTTCAATGGTAGACAGTCCCAGGTACACAGAGGTTTTTAGAACTTTTTGTTGTCAATCTGGAGGTGGGATGAGAGTATCCTCCACCCCCTCTTCCATGACCTTGGTTGTTTTTAGCAGCAGCAGCAGCAGCAGCAGCAGCAGCAGCAGCAGCAGGAGGAGGAGGATTTCTTCAGTGAGTGTGCTAGTTGCAGTTCCTCTGGTTGCAGGCCACAAAGGGCAGGCATTTATTGAAAGGATGCTAGGGTGCTTCAAGGAATTCAAACAAGAGCTGACTCAGGAAGGGCAGGGCCCAGGGCGACCCTCAGCTGTATGGGAACCAGGCATCATCCTTTCAAGGGCTCCTGATTCCTGAGGACCAACTTCTGCTGCTAATCCTAGGAGGCCTCCCTGTCCCCTTCCTGGAAGAAGGGGCTAGGTGGAGGTTTGGTGTCCAGTGTCGAGCAAGGAGAATGTTGCTATAGGGTGTAGTCAGGCAGCACGGCTGCACAAGCCAGACAGCGTGCACTAGGCCATGGCCAGCCACCACCAGGACTCGGGGACTGGGTTCTTCCTAGAATACTCTCTCTCTTCCTATCTATGTCCTGATGCCTGCCATGGGCTGCACTCTCTGGGACTAGCAGCTACAGCCTGACACCCCCAAGCCATGCCCAAGATCTGTGTCACTTGCTCTAGGCACACTCCTCGTGGGCTTTGGGGTGCTGATGCCCAGTGCAAGCAGCCCCTTGGCACAGGAGTTCCCAGAGGTCACTCAGCCCCATGCCCGACCCCCTATCCCTGCTGGCAGCTCCACAAGCTTCCTTCCACTTCCACCTGCTGCCCACCCAGTGATGCTGCCAGGGCTTAAGGGTCTTGGGACTCTGTCCTGTAGTTCATGCCCCCTCTCAGCTGTAGGAGAGCTACCAGCTGTAGGGATGGCTTTGTCATGCCTCATCCCTCCAGCTGGCCTTAGAGAGAAGAGCTGAATTGTGTCCCCGGGCTGCTCAGCGTCTGCTGGGCCAAGAGGACAGCTGCCAAGCTGTCAACCCACCGATGGCCTTAGGAGCCCAGGAGGAGACAAGGAGCAGGGCCAGACTCTGCAGAGCGCTGATAAGATGGGCCAGGGAAGTGCCTCTCCGCGCCCAGCGGTATTGGGAGCCCGGACCCTCCGGAGCTGGGGTCCAGGCCTCCCCAGAACTGCAGCTGGAGCTTCATCCTTTTCGGGAAGGGCAAGACCTGGGGTGGGAGGGGAGACTGGGACCGGGCTGGAGGCAGGCTCGGCTGCCGAAATGATGGGCTGTCACGGCTTCTGCCTGCGCTCCTCAGGACCCCCCTCAGAGGGGACATTTCACGGCCTCAGAAACATTTCTGGACTTGGCATTTGCTCGGCGCCTGGCCCCGCGGTGGCTGGGGGAAGCTTGCATAGACCGGGGAAAGACGAGGAGAGGGGAGGAGACGATGAAGGGGGTCAGAGCAGCGATTGGAGCCGAGAGCTGGAAGCTCCTTAAAGAGACTGCGCGGTCCCCGCCCCCCTTCCCGCCAGTCTCAATGAATTAGAGCTGTGTTTCCCAAACTTGCCTGATCATAAGCAGCCTCTGGGGCCCTAGTTAGAGATACAGGTTCCGGAGTACCTTCCTTCGACATTCTGATTCAGTAGGCCTGCGGGTGGAGCCGAGGAATCTGTAATTTTAACACGCTCCCCACGTGATTCTCGTGAACAAGCAAGTTTGGGAAATATTGAATTAAAGGAAACGGGGCCTGGCTGCAGAAGCGGCCTCCACTAGGGGGCTTCGGCGGGAGGATTCCCGGGGGCGTCGCCTGCTTCCGCCGCCGCCTCCTTCAGTGAAAGTCCCTTTTGGGTCCAGCTGCCACAGCCACCGCGCTCCCTCAGGCCGGGCGGGGGACACCCCAGATCTGCGTGGCCCCCGCGCCGCCACGCCCAGTGGCCGCCCGAGCCCTGCGAGCAGGGGGAGGAGCCGCCGCCAGAGGAGGCGGAGGAGGTAGAGGAGGCGGAGACGGCGGAGTCGGCGGAGAAGGCGGAGAGGAAGGTGGAGGCGGAGGCGAAGGTGGAGGGGAAGGCGGAGGCGGCGGGGAAGGTGGACGCCGCGGAGAAGGTGGAGACGGCGGGGAAGGTGGAGACGGCGGGGAAGGTGGAGACGGCGGAGGGTCCGGGCCGCCGGGCAGAGCTCAAGCTGGAGCCCGAACCCGAGCCGATCCGGGAGGCGGAGCAGGAGCCGAAGCAGGAGCTGGAGGATGAGAACCCAGCGCGGAGCGGCGGTGGTGGCAGCAGCGACGAGGTTCCTCCCCCCACCCTTCCCTCCGACCCACCGCGGCCCCCCGATCCCTCTCCGCGTCGCAGTCGTGCCCCGCGCCGCCGACCCCGGCCCCGGCCCCAGACCCGGCTCCGTACCCCGCCGCAGCCTAGGCCCCGGCCCCCGCCCCGGCCCCGGCCCCGGCGCGGCCCTGGGGGCGGATGCCTGGATGTGGATTTTGCCGTGGGGCCACCAGGCTGTTCCCACGTGAACAGCTTTAAGGTGGGAGAGAACTGGAGGCAGGAACTGCGGGTTATCTACCAGTGCTTCGTGTGGTGTGGAACCCCAGAGACCAGGAAAAGCAAGGCAAAGTCGTGTATCTGCCATGTGTGTGGCACCCATTTGAACAGACTCCACTCTTGCCTTTCCTGTGTCTTCTTTGGCTGCTTCACGGAGAAACACATTCACGAGCACGCCGAGACAAAACAACACAACTTAGCCGTAGACCTGTATTACGGAGGTATATACTGCTTTATGTGTAAGGACTATGTATATGACAAAGACATTGAGCAAATTGCCAAAGAAGAGCAAGGAGAAGCTTTGAAATTACAAGCCTCCACCTCAACAGAGGTTTCTCACCAGCAATGTTCAGTGCCAGGCCTCGGTGAGAAATTCCCAACCTGGGAAACAACCAAACCAGAATTAGAACTGCTAGGGCACAACCCGAGGAGAAGAAGAATCACCTCCAGCTTTACGATTGGTTTGAGAGGACTCATCAATCTTGGCAACACATGCTTTATGAACTGCATTGTCCAGGCCCTCACCCACACGCCGATACTGAGAGATTTCTTCCTCTCTGACAGGCACCGATGTGAGATGCCGAGTCCCGAGTTGTGTCTGGTCTGTGAGATGTCATCGCTGTTTCGCGAGTTGTATTCTGGAAACCCGTCTCCTCATGTGCCCTATAAGTTACTGCACCTGGTATGGATACATGCCCGCCATTTAGCAGGGTACAGGCAACAGGATGCCCATGAGTTCCTCATTGCGGCATTAGATGTCCTGCACAGGCACTGCAAAGGCGATGATGTCGGAAAGGCGGCCAGCAATCCCAACCACTGTAACTGCATCATAGACCAAATCTTCACAGGTGGCCTGCAGTCTGATGTCACCTGTCAAGCCTGCCATGGCGTCTCCACCACGATAGACCCATGCTGGGACATTAGTTTGGACTTGCCTGGCTCTTGCACCTCCTTCTGGCCCATGAGCCCCGGGAGGGAGAGCAGTGTGAACGGGGAAAGCCACATACCAGGAATCACCACCCTCACGGACTGCTTGCGGAGGTTTACAAGGCCAGAGCACTTAGGAAGCAGTGCCAAAATCAAATGTGGTAGTTGCCAAAGCTACCAGGAATCTACCAAACAGCTCACGATGAATAAATTACCTGTCGTTGCCTGTTTTCATTTCAAACGGTTTGAACATTCAGCCAAACAGAGGCGCAAGATCACTACATACATTTCCTTTCCTCTGGAGCTGGATATGACACCATTTATGGCCTCAAGTAAAGAGAGCAGAATGAATGGACAATTGCAGCTGCCAACCAATAGTGGAAACAACGAAAATAAGTATTCCTTGTTTGCTGTGGTTAATCACCAAGGAACCTTGGAGAGTGGCCACTATACCAGCTTCATCCGGCACCACAAGGACCAGTGGTTCAAGTGTGATGATGCCGTCATCACTAAGGCCAGTATTAAGGACGTACTGGACAGTGAAGGGTATTTACTGTTCTATCACAAACAGGTGCTGGAACATGAGTCAGAAAAAGTGAAAGAAATGAACACGCAAGCCTACTGAAGTGACACACAGACCTACCTGCAATGAAAGATGACGACACCAACACTACAACTGGCATCGAGATCTAAAGGACCTACTTGACCATGGCCCATGGGCCTGACAGAGTAAGAATTGAACAGTACCCAGTGTCCAAAAGGTCCTGATTTGAAGAGAAATAGAAGGGGAGGGAGAAGAGGCTCTAGTCTAAGCAGTTGATGAAAGGGAAATTAAATGGTAGAAATGCTCTGGATGAGGAAGGCAGGAGCAGGAAAATGCTGACACTGGTACATATCCTATATTCCTCCAAAAGGTTGTGTGGGAAAGTGTGGGGGGGAGGGGGGTGGCGTGGGGGGGGGTGTGCCCTTGTAACCGTAAAACATCTTTCTCCATGGGTGTTTCAGCTTCAATTGACCAATCACATAACAGTTATATGTTTGGGGGGGAAAAGAAAAGTTTCTAAAAAATGTAGCCCATTACATATATGGGTATGAAAGCAGAAAAGTGGAGGAGGCAGGGATATCATTGACAAACACCTTTGCCAGTTTCTTTGTATTCGTGATTTTTTGTGCTATTAAATGCAGTATTAAAACAAGAAAAGCCCACCTGGGCTTGTGAAAAGGAGAGGAAATAAGGGGGCTTGTATAAGGGGAGCAGTTGCTCCAAAAGTAGAGAAGACAAGAAATGCTGTAAGATAAGCAACCAACGCAGACAGGCCTCAGCTAAAAAAAAAAAAAAAAAAAAAAAAAAAAAAAAAAAAAAAAAAAAAAAAAAAAAAAAAAAAAAAGCTGTATGATATACTTGAGCAAATCAATGAACCTCTTTGCGATTGTTTTATCATCTGTAAAATGCAGATAATTCCTACCTTAAAGGGTAATTGTTAAAGATTAAATGATATAAAAATGTGTCAAAGTATAAAGTAAAAGGCTTGGAACTTTGTAGGGATTCAGTAAACGTTTGTTGGATCCAAACCTGAAACTTTTTTGGACCAGGCCCAGAATGCATCAGAGGTGGGGGTCACTCCCACCTGAGACCCCTGGACAGAAGGGACACACATCATGTCACATGCAGTCACACACTCTTCACAACTCCCTCCCCAATGCTGTCTATTTAGAGCACCAAGCCAATGAACTCCACTTTTGTCCCTTGAGTACAGGGCATCACAGTGGGTGCCACCTGGGATTGGGGGTGGGAAGACCCACAACTGTCCCATAAGGTCATTATTCTGTCCTTTTGGAGGACAGTCATACTGCTTTCATGATTCAGATCCCAGTGATGGGACTCTCATGGCCAGTAGGCTGCCAGGCTTGTACATGAGGGAATTTGGTGGTCTTCGTCTTCTAAAAACATTATGGGTTCAGTTGCTATGTTTACTCACAGGCACAGATCAGTAGACTCTTTTCCAAAGTTCACTGGCCCATCAGCCCAGGGATATTGATAGAGTGGGTTGTTGGCCCCTTCCCTGATCCTGACAGGGCAGAGCAGCCGGCAGAGAGCTAAGCCGAAACAGATAGGATGAACCCAGGATGGGGTAAGCACTATGAGTCCTTCTCTCATCAGCATCAGGTACAAAAGCAATTATTACATAGAAAATCCTGGTGGGGGGGAATTGAATGTGTATCAGATCCATAGGGCTTGGATCCACTGGCTCTGGTAAAAGTCTAGGCTCCCCATGGCTTCCCAAGTCTATTTCATGGTCAACTGACTTGGAAATATATGTTTATGTGGCTATGGGTGCATCACAACTATCTCATAGGCTTTTTTAGGACAGGAGTCGTGTCTCCTCTTCTACCTTGGGCTGCATTCTCAGTCCCTTAGCTCCTATCACATGGTAAGTAGGTATTCAAAACATTTACTGAATGAATGAATGAATGGATGGATGGATGGATGAGTTAATGAACCAATACACCTTCCTTTCATAACCCAGATTTCATTAACACCCAGGGCTCATAATTTTCAGGAGAAAATGCAAAAAGTTATTATTTTTGGTGTCTTATAGGATGGGGGAGATCAAGAGATGGGTGGCTTCAAATGGCACTTGGCAACTTCATGCAGGGTATCTGACTACCTTTTGGGATGGGTGTGGTAGCCCTACCTGGTAGGACACAGCCATGTCCTCATTCTTCATCTCTGCCAGGGGAAGAGTTCAGGCAGGCCTGTGCCACCGGATCCTTACTGCTTGCACAGAAACTGACCTTTAACATTTTAAACATTTTTATTTGGAAATCATTTCAAACTTATAGAAAAGTTACAAAAAAAAATAGTATAAAGAGCATCTGTATGGTCTTTCCCAGATTTACCTGTTGAGAATTTTACATTATTTTTATTATCATTTGCACATGTGCAATCTTTTATAAATGGGGGTGTGTATATTTTTGAATCCTATGAAGATAAATTAATGACATATATTATGGCCTTTCATGCCTAAATATGTCAGTGTGCATTTCCTAAGAATAGGCATATCCCCACATCACTACAGTAGAGCTTTAGAAAATTTTACATTGATACAATACCTTACCATTTGTATTCCAATTTTGTCTGTTGACCCGGTAATGTCCTTTATAGCATTTTCCCACTCTATTGCAGGATCTGGTCTAGGATGAAATAATGCATTAAATTATTCTCTCTCTTTAGCCTCCTTTAATCTGGAACATTTCCACAACCTTTCTTCATCTTGTATGACATTCACATTTTTAACAGCACATTCCTCATTTTGGGTTTGTCCGATACAGAAAATGCTTTTAAATACCCTGCACTCAATAGTAGTTCTGAGAGGAACTCACTGAGAGCTATGAAGGACGCGAGATTGCTGAAGCCGACCTCCCGGTCTTCGCTGATGGAAGGCACAGACCGCCAGAGGGAGCAGCTGTGCCCGGCACTTACTAATTGAACCTCACACCTCCTCTATCTGGAAAACAGCATTTTCCCTTAGCAACAGGGCAGCCATTCAAAGCCAGCCCGATGCCTCCACCAGTCACTAATCACCAAATTGAGCCATAGGATGTAACAGTAGCTAGGGTCTGCCTTCAGGTCATACCACCGTGGGACCCAAGGCATCATGTATTTAGCAGGTATGTCTTAACCTTGAGCTGAAACTGAGATCCACATATGTTTGAGAATGTCTGGCACATGGTCAGGCACCTCCACGATTAGGGCCTTTAGGGATATCAGGATGTAGCACCCTTGGCACTTTCACCAACATTTCCACAGTGGGCATAAATACAGCAGTGGCTGAGGTAGGGAGGGAGGGGGTAACTAGTTCTTAGACAGCTTCATGGTCAATGTACACAAAGATAGGGGCCCAGAATAAGTAAGGAATAACATGGAAGATGGTGAAAACAGATTGGTTTGTGACCTACTGGGGACTTGCAAACACAAATGGGTTATTTTTCATATGGGCTGTAGTTCCTAGATGAGCAAATGGGCAAGAACTAGTGAAATTTAAGCTATTTTTTTTTCTTTTTTTGAGACAGACTCTCGCTCTGTCACCCAGGCAGGAGTGCAATGCAATGACGTGATCTTGGCTCACTGCAATCTCCGCCTCCTGGGTTCAAGCAATTCTCCTGCCTCAGCCTCCTGAGTAGCTGGAATTACAGGCACCTGCCACCATGCCCAGCTAATTTTTTGTATTTTTAGTAGAGATTGGGTTTTACCATGTTGGCCAGGCTGGTCTCGAACTCCTGACTTCAGGTGATCCTCCTGCCTTGCCCTCCCAAAGCACTGGGATTACAGGTGTGAGCCACCATGCCCAACTAAGCTAATTCTTTAGCAGAGACTTCATTTACATCCACAAACTGGTAGGACTGGGAGACTTGGCTTGTATGTAGATTTGTGATCTGGACTCAGAAGGGCACAGGTGAAATATGAGTACTCACAACTAGGGGCTTTAACCACCCATACAGTTCAGAACCATGTACCAAACAATGTGTTACTGCCCTGTTACCCATTACACATTCCTTCCCACAATTTCTTGGCATAATTTGATTAGAAATCCAGAGCCCTGCCATTTACCATTTCCTGTAGTAACCAGATGCTGAAACTGACTCTGGCCTACAGGTCACATTGGTAATTGTCTCACTTCTTCACTATCCACAGGGAATTCTGATCAGGGACGCCATCAACCAAAAGGCCTTTTTCCAGTCAAGAAACCGAATGGTCCCCATGCAACTCTTATTTTCAAAATGCAGTAGACCTGGTACCAGAAACCTGTGTTTCCTCCAAATGCATGTTTCACACCCAGAAATGAAGGCCCAGATCCTCTGAAAGTATGTAGCCTAGAACTCACCAGAGTGTCATTACCCACTTGCTCTGCAGGTGACCCAGTGTCATTTTTTTCTTTTTTCTTTCTTTTTTTTTTTTTTTGTCTTAAGTCCATTTTCTGTTGCTGTAACGGATCCAGTGCATTTTTAAACTCTCGTATTGAAGTAAATCAAATATACAGGAAAAGTGCCTATATCATATGTAACTTGATGAATTTCTACAAAGTAAACATATCCCTGTAAACAGTCTCCAAATCAAGAAACAAAACATTCCTCAGAACTCAATGATACCTATCCTAACTTCTTTCACTGGAGATTAGTGTTTTCTGTTTTTAGACCTTCTCTAAATGCAATTGTTCAGCATGTACTCTTTTATGTCTGGCTTCATTTGCTTGATAATCATTTTATGAGCTTCAGACCTCAAGTCTTTTAAAAATTTATTTATTTATTTATTTTTAAAATAATACCCTCTCAGGAGAGAGGGGGCTGACCTCTGTGAAATGAGATCAGCTTGAAGTCTTTTTGTCAAGAAAAATTAGGAGGAACTTCATTATTTCTGTCTAATGAACTAAGGGTAGGAATCCCTACTTGTCCCCGTGATTTGTTTATTTATTTATTTTATTTCGAGATGGGTCTCACTCTGTCACCCAGGCTGGAGTGCAATGGTGTAATCCTGGCTCACTGCAGCCTCGACCTCCTGGGCGCAAGCGATCCTCCCACTTCAGCCTCCTGATATTGAATCAATTCAGAGGGACTCAGGCCATTACAAAGTTGTGTCTTTGCCTTGAGGATGTCTATAATCTCATTCAGGTACAAGAAAGTGTCTCAAAAGTGTTTGTAACTCACGTAAAAGAAAATGGTGGATGGAAAATAACCTTACAGAGAAGTTTGGGTTAATTTAAGCACCCAAGAAATGTTAATCTTGGGCAATACTTCAGCCTTGTTCCATTAGCTCCTGAATACAATATTCTGGTAAGTTCTCAAATTTTAATATGCATCAGAGGTCCTCATGTACCAGGAGGGCTCATAAACACACAGATTACTGGGTCCCACACCTAGAGTTTCTGGTTCAGTAGATCTGGATGGGGGCTTGAGAATTTACATTTCTAACACATCCCCAGATGATACCCATACCCCTGGTTCTGGGACCACCCTTGGAGATCCACTGGTCTATTTGTTTTCATACTTTCCTGAAATCCAAGAAGCCTATGAAGATAGCCCAGGGAGCACCTTGGAGAGCACTTCATGGAGCAAGGAGTAGAGTAAGTTGGTGAGATCAGAACTCTCAACCTCACTTCAACCAGAGAAGCTCTCCTCTTATTCGTTTGATATTTGGGGGTTCCAGGTAATACTTGCAGAAAGGGTTCTGCTACTAAAATATTTTAAAGTTGAAACTCACTGTGGTAAAAAAAATTTTAGACCCCAGGGGAATGATATACTTAAATGACATGGTGTTGTGTC